ACACACACACACACACACACACACACACACACACACACACACACACACACTACACACTTTTTTTTTAAAGTTTGTATGTTATCAAGAGAATATTCTTATTCCATGATTATTTTTCATGCGAAACATGCATTTTCTCGGACAACTTCATTGTCGATAATTTGCTCCTGAGAATTTGCACATGAGAAGCGGATAAAAGAATGGAAAATGTGAGAGAAGAAAAGAACATTAAAAGAAAAGATGTTAAGATATTTCTCAAAGATGACACATATAGTTTTCAGTTACATCCACGGTACACCTGTCTCCTTCATTCTACGCTGTTATTCTTGCTATGTACTTCGCCATCGCTTTATTTACCTCTTTCTTCTTTCATTTTGTTTACTTTTCCTTTAATAGAATATAGAATATTTGTAGTCCACGTGTAGTTTAACATTGCACAAAATATGTAAATCTTTTACGAATAAAACGTTAAATGTAAAGTGTATATAAGCCTTTCTTTTTTATTCAAAAGGTTTTTTTTATTTATTTTTATCTTTCGATATTTTATTTGTATATATTATTTTTGGAAATCATAGTATATGAATTATACGTTAAATGTCGCGTTACTTTAGCGTAGATGTATAATTGCGGTTAGACATCACCCGCCATTGATAATGGTACTTGCATAAGCTATAGGTTTTTAGCCGAAGAGAGCAAGAGACGAACGGAGAAACGAGCTCTCTTGGCTCGGAGATCTTGAATGGTAATGATTATAGCAAATTGCTCTTGCTTGGCTTGGGGTGCCTAATAGCCACTCAGTGGGGTTGTTGAAACCGCTCGCCCCTTCATTCAACCTTTGATGCCCCCGCTCGAGTCAACCCTTCAAAACTTGATTGTTTCTACCCTGTTCCGTAGCGTCCTTGAAGTTCCTTCTACTTGGATGTTCTCGATATGTCTTATCGACGTGTGTATGTTCTTTTTGCCGCAATGCATCTATCACAAGCTATTATTCCTCTTTTATTTTTTATCCTCTTTTATTTGCATATCTAAATGTAAATTATAATTATATTATCTTTATTTCTAACTGTATAGTGGTAGACTGTGACTTTCTATTTTTAGTCAACATTATTTATTTTGTATAGGGAAACTTTTATTTTATTATTAATTTTGTTATTTCCTGTGCGCGCGCGCGCGCGCGCGTGCTCACACACACACACACACACA